CAGCGCCTGGATTAGGGGCCCCGGGGAGGTGCCGGTAGCTCAGGGCTGGCTAATTCCCTCCTCTCGCCAGCTGGGCTCCTCCAGGGGAAAGGAGACAAAGGGGAGCAAGAGGGGGATGCTGGGCCTGAACTAGGGCAGCACATGTTGCGTTTGCTACCGCTACTGCTGTCTACCGAGGGGTGGGGGGGAGAAGAAAAACAACAACAACAGGAAAAAAAGCACACCACCATTGTGTTATTTACCGCTTGGGCTTACTGGCTGTAATCAAAATAATTTAAAATGTCCACTTTGCAGAAGCTATTATAAAAATATATGCATTTTAAATATCTTCCCTTTTGCAGCCAGACTACTCACGTCTTGTGCTGGGCAGCGGCACACAGAGGAAGGACGGCACCGGGGAGGACCCGGAGCACTTAGTGAATAAAGCTTCATTGTTCAGCTTTGAAACTGTAGATGCAATGGGCCAAATCCAGTGGTAACACAGGCTGGGCCAACTGCTTCAACGTCGTTACATCCACATGTGCTTATGCCAGCCATTACATTGGCCCACCATGCAAATCGAACAAATCTTTTAGGAGGTCTCTTTTTTCCTCTGAAACAAACTGATCTACCTCAAAATGCACTCTAACATTCAAACAGGGCCAGTTCCCCTCCAGCTGCTGCTCTTCAAACATACTGGGCTATTCAGAAAACAAAATCAAAGAAAGCTGGTATTACTTTGTGAGTGATGCACAAAGACGTCGCTGTGCTAATATAATTTGGATTCAAAAAAATTAACATTTCTCAGATTGAAAAGCTGGGTTTGTAATAAAAATTTACACAGACAGTTGAAAGCAAAGACTGTCTCCTTTTGTTAGCTTGATTTAGACCTCGCACCGGTTTTGTTTAACTTCTAGATTCTTTTTATTGCACCGTTTTCTCATACTTTTCAATTTAAAAAGAATTAGGAAACTTTAAGCCCCAGAAACAACCTACCTTGACTTCCTATACAAACAAGATACTAAATTACTAAAGGCCTAAACTGAAGAAATTAGGGAAAACTCATTATCATTAATCTCTTTATGGAATGAAAAATAGCCTTGTTAATTTTAACTTGCCATATTAAATTGAAGAAAAGACCTATAATGAACTGGGCAGGAAATTCTAAGGTATTTTACCAGAGTAATATTTTAGTGGGAAGATATATTTTAGATGTGGTGTGACATGTCTGGCAATGATGGTTAGAATAATAATTTTACATTAATGCAATCAAAGGAATGTAGCAGAATGAGAGAAATCACTTTCAAAAAGGAGATTAAAGTCATTAAAAATGGCTAATCCTGCAAAGTGGGACTGTTCTAAAATAGAGAATCACATGGCTGGTGCAAGGCTTTTGTCATTTGCGCATAAGAGAATCAAAACAAGTATTAAAAGGGTAAGAAAATTCAATAAAAAGTTTAATTAGGAAAAAAAAGAGCATTAAGGAAGCTTCAGAATGTCAGTAGTCCTCAGGATATATGTGCGGGTCATGAAGCTTAAAGGGCCAAACTTGATAATCAATCTCAAAGTGGTACAGTAATTTAGCAACTTAATGTTCAGCACGTTTACGGGACTGCAAGCATTTATCATCATCACTGAGGAGCTAATTCCAGCCTCAATGCATTCAATAGATGTATTTTTCCTTCTAATAAGAGCAATTTGGCAAACTGCAGTATAAATCATACTTCATTCTCTGTTTATCTTCCAGATAACATGAGCCAAGTTCAGAAATACACTCGTGAAGCTAAAACAATAAAATGAAGTCTTAAAAAATGCGATCTCTCTTAGAAAGGAGACAAACAGCACATCACAGATCGGCAGGAGTAAGCAGCACTGTCACCTCAGCATACACTGATGACATTGATATATTTATTATTTCAAAGTTATTTTGCTAATAGAAATAAAATCAACCAGACAAAATTTCCTAGTCCCTGCAAACACTTTCCCCCACCTCCCTGCCCAAAGCTAGCTGGAAACATTATGCTCCCAGCAGACTTTGAGCCGAGCTGCACTTGAAGTGGTTGCAGAGGGGCAGGCTTGCTCAGCTGCCCGGTCACCCGCGTGGCCCCAGCCCTGGGGTCGGCATTCATGGGCAGGGGCTGCACAAACCCCGGCTACCCCACAGCCGACTGCTTCCATTAAATAGAACAAAAGGTATATGCACAGAGATCCCATTTGCTGGCCCAGACCCGAAGCTCGTCCTTGCCTAGACCCTTTTCTTTACCAATGTAGAGCATCATTGGGTTCCCCTCCAGTAAAACCCCCCCTACTCTCTCCCCACTATGTGTGGAGGGTTCAGGCGGCTCTTCTACAGGGCCTCCATACGTCCCCCCATGCCGCAGGCACCTCGCGCTGTGGTCAACGCAATATGGAAAAACAGTCAATTCCAGCTGGTTTGGGTGCAAACAGCAGCACAGACTGAGCACCACGGGGCTCAGAAGCAGCTGCACAACCTGCCCAGGCATCAACAAAGAACGTTTAGCCAAAGAGGCAACTCTGAGATTCTTCTGAGCCCAGAGGCATCTCCATACAGGACAATAAACCATGGAGGTTAGATTTGGAAGGTGCTCTTATTCTGTCAGGTTTATTTCTCTAGCACAGAGCTAGTACACAAAACAAATAGTTAAATTAAGAAAAACAAAAAATCAATAGTTGAGGAAAGGATTGCTATTTAAGTTCAGATTCCTGGTTCTCTCCGAGCCTTTCAATGGCACACAAGTTTAAAATGGTCAGAGCACTCAAATTGCTTTAGGCTATTGAGTTATGGAATTCTTGCACCCAAAAACCTAAGTTACTTTTGAAAATGAACACGGCATCATAAGACACGCTTCTGAACTGTGTTTCAGTTCCTCATCTCCATAATAGAAAAAAGCCATCTGCTCCTCAAGGGCAAATTGTAGGGCTTACTTCTGGATAGCTGTGAAACCCCGAGACATCCTCGCATGGAAGGCCTGATAGAAATGCTATCAATTTAAATAATTATTATTATCACAGATGCTTAACTATGAGAATACAACACAGAGATTGAGGGCTGAGAAATCTTCAGGACTGGTTACAGCAGATTTTGCATTGCTGCACTATGTATTAAAGCCAAGGATAGATCATTACAATGGATTATAGTAAGAACCTCACATAGCATACGCCGCTCATTTACAC